GTTGATTTGTCGAACCATCATGCTGAACCATGCTAAGGGACCTATAGGTAATTTTATACGCCTACAATGTGATGGGAGATTGATGCGGCATAAACATGTACCAAAAAGGTTGCAAGTGCACAACCGTGTCAAGTTATAGTATTTAAGATATCGATCCCACGAGGAAGGTGTTTTGTAGGAGAAAATATAAAATCGGTTCTTATGTTGTGTGTGTGACAAGTAGGAGTGATAAGTGAATGTGATTGTGGAGAGATAGAGAGAGTGGAAGTGATAGTGTGTAAATCGGCACGAGATATAAGTGAGAGTGGATGTGACAAAGAATGAATATGATCAATAAGGCAAGAAGGAAAAGGAAAATAAAAATCAAGAATAAAGAAAATAAAATTCAAGAATAAAAGAAAATGCAAGAAATTAAAGATGGTGAATTCAATTATAGATATGGGTAATCTACAATTGAACCCGCTTCTTAGAAAAGGGTGATTCCCTAGAGGGTTCTAGCCTAAAGGCGAATCAAACAAAATAAAAATAAACAAAAAAGAAAAACTAAACCCAAGAGGGTTCTAGCCTCAAGGTGAATAGTATAAGAAATTAAAATCTAACTACAAAATAAAGTGCAAAATCTAAACTACAAAATAAAATTGCAAGAATTAAATGCAAGAAATTAAATCTATTCTATAAGCATGAAATAAATCTAAGGCAAGAGGGTTTTAGCCTCTTGGCTATTTAACAAGAAAATAAAATCTAAACTACAAGCATAGAAATAAATCTAAACTAATAAGCAATAAAAGAGAAAAAGAAAAGAAATGCAAACCTTCAAATAATTCTCCATCTTCATCTTCATCTTCATCATCCAACAAAGAGAAGAAGAGAAAAATTTAAAGTGGTGAAAAAATTATTATTATTAATTGCAACTAAAGTTACAATTTTGGAAGGCCTTCTCAATTAAGAGTAGCCCTCCTCTCCAAAAGGAGTTTACAAAAATTTTCACACCCCTAACCCCTCACTCTCTACCCCTATTTATAGTAATCTTCAATGAATATGAGCCATTGGATTTGTCTTGAGCCCCAAGCAACAATCTCCACCTTTGATTTATTTGATTTTCAAAAGAAAAATGAAAATCCAATTTGTATCAAAAGAAACTCCAATTTTGCAACAATCAATTTTCGGCCCAATGAGCTCCATATGATTTTCACAAAATGAAAACTAAACAACAAGTCCGGTTGCATAAGAATTTCGGCCCAGTTGGATTGTGAAAATCAAACAAAGTCGGCCCATGAAGTTTATCCAACTCCAGCAGTCGGTCAATACACATCAGCAATTGGCAAATGGAAGCATCATTTCATTTTCAAATAATAATCAAGTCTGGTCTTCAAATAATTTCCAGCAGCAAGTAGCAGAAGGCCGGTTCCTTTTATTTGAGAAAGAAATTGAATATGCAGCAGCAAGTCCATTCACGTGTCCGGCCCAATTGGAAAGAATCATCCAAATCAAGTCCTTGATGATTTTTTTTTTTAAAATGAAAAGAAGAACTAAACAAGTCCAAGCCCATAGATGTGTCCATTTTATTTCAAGCAAGTCGGCCCATTTTGCATCCAGCGCTCCTGGCCCATGTTCGTTCTTCATTTGGTTAGGTGGTCTTTACATTCAAGTCCATCTCTTTCCACAATTTGCATCCAAGCTCATTTGAGAATAAAGAGGATTTTGCTTCTTTTGGACATTTTGGCTTTTGGCTTCAATTGATCATTTTCTTCACTTGCTTGATGGGCTTTATGCTACAAAATAGAGAAGAGAGATTTTGAGGGGTTTTTATATTTAATAATATTTATTTATATTTCCATTCATTTATGTATAAACTAATCTAAAAACAATTATTAATGGTATATTTATTCATGTAAAATAGATAATGAGGATATAAAATTGTAATAAAAATATGATTATTAGAGATTGAGTTGTTGTTTGGCAACTAGGTCTACCAGGAGTTCTGTGAATGATATTTCTATTTTCTGATGATGGTGGTTCACTAACACCCTCCAATAGAATGTCCATCTCTGATGGTATTGAAAGACGTTGATTAGCAAAAATCTCATCCACTTTGTGTTTCTGAGATTCCTTAAGCATCACTAACAATTCACTATGAGAATTCAACTTTCTCAACCCACCCATATCAGGTAAAGAATAATATAAAAATAGCACATTGCAATATCTATACTTTTCCACACAATTCATGAGAAAAAGGAATAGAGAATGCATTTTTTCTATGAACTCTACATCAAATGTTTCTCCAACATATTCAACTGACCCTCCTGCTCCAGATATAAACTAACTACCATGTCTAAATTTTACCATAATAAACTCATTCATCTGCGTAAAATAAACAAAATAAACTCTAATTTTCACCAAAACAAACCAACATTTAACCCCAAAAAACAATTAACCTTAATTTACAAAACCCTTAATTTTACCCTAACTTTCAGTAATACTACCAATTTACAAAAAATTGCCCTAAGTTTACCATAATGCACTCAATAAAACCCTATCTTTCAATTATTTGTGTTCAAAAACCATGAAACAAACCCTATTAAAACCCTAAAAAGAAAATTTGAACTTACCTTTGATAACCACGAGAAAATGTCGTTCTTCAATTCACGAATTTTGCCACTACTAACATGTCTCCATCCACGAATCTGTTTCCACCCACGAGATTCCTCGTTGTCCTTCGTTTCCACTTCTCCCCTCTCTTCTCTCTTTATTTTCTTTTTTCAGTCTTTTTTTAGAATTTGACCTTAGTTTTCTCCCATTAACAATAGTTAGTGTTCTGCTCTGTCCCGCCTAACTCTCGATCACATAATGAAAACAAAGCCACATTAGCTACCTGTTTATTTTAAATCTAAACACGAGCAATCGTGTCAGATCGATGTAACAAACCCATCATCGGAGTAGGCTTAAACGGTTAAGTGAGCCACTTGCTACCTTTTTATTTTAAATCTAAACATGAGCAATCGCGTCAGATCGATTTAACAAACCTATTAGCGGAGTAGACTTAAACGGTTAAGTGAGCCGCTTTACCGGCATTATTGTGGCCTGAGTCACTTTCTAGACGCTATTGGCCAAATTGGTATTTTGGCCGTATAAAACTATGACAGAATTTAGAGCATTTCCAACAGCTTCCCCATTTTATTGGTATTCTCACTTTTGGAGAATTGTGGGCTTTTTTTTGGTCCAACGGATTCCGCATCTCATTCCCCAAAATAGGGATGAATGAGGAAAAAAAGGGAGTAGGGCTGAGCATGGTTCGGTCCAAACCGAAAAAACCGACCGAACCGACCCGAATCGATCCGAAAAAATCGGTTTTATGAGTAGGAAGGTTCGGGTCGGTTTGAAAACTTTTCAACCCGAACCGACCGAATATAGTGTAATACTACCCATTTTTATCTCAAACCCTACCCGATCCGTCCCAAAGAGTCAGACTCAAACCCTAAACTTATTTTCTGAATCATTATGGGTTGAAAACAATATCATTATATCAGTGTTTAATGCTTCATAATCTCCTACTTTGTTGATATCTTTTTTTTCTTTAATACAGTTTGTTATTTGATAAGAAGTTTGATGAAGTTAGAACCGAACAAACCGAACCGAACCGTACCGAACTGACTTGTAACAATTCGGTTCGGTTTTGAATTATAAACGGTTCGGTTCGGTTGTTTCAAATTTTGATAAAAACCGAACCAAACCGACCGTTGCACATCCCTAAAAGGGAGTCTTCCCCAAATCTGGGGCATTCTTCAAATATTTGGGGAAAACTTGGTCATGAATGCAGCACGTTCTTCAAGACGGGATGGAGGAGAAAATAAATATAAAACAAAATCCGTAATTACAAAAAAAGCCATGAGGCAGTTCTAATGCATATAAGAGCATCCAAAAATAGGAATGTAGAATGTTTTTATTATTGTAATAAATACAAGATTCTTCAAAATGGAGAAACTGTTGGAGTTAGAGCAAAAATAATTTGGAGAAGAGCTTTGCTACAGAGACCCAAAATATGGGACCAATAGATGGGACAAGTGAGGTGTCTCCCTCCTATTGGATAATGAGTTGGCCATCATTAATGATGACCAACTCATTATCCAATAGGAGGGAGACATCCCACTTGTCCCATCTATTGGTTCCATATGTTGGGTCCATAGAAACTAAAGCCCAAATTTCTATTAAAATCTCATCTCTACTGATGGCGTCTCAAATCTCCGACCAAAAGAAACGGGCACTGGATGCCCTAGAACGAAGATTCGCCTTCGACAAGGCCAAAATCGTTCAGCAAGAGGAGAAAATGAGCAAGAAAATCAGGACAAACCCTAAGGACGAGCAAGAGGTGGTGGTGGCCGATAGTCAAAAGGGAGACAATCCGCCCTCTGCCTCGTCATCATCGAGGAAAGGTGAGATTTTTAGTTGAAAATTTTAAGTTTAGATGGTTAAGTTTCTGAACTTGGAGAAAAGATTGGGAATTTTGTGTGTGTTGTGGGTGGTATTATGGAAAAGATTAGAGCTTGAGCTAAATGTTGTAACTTGGAACAAAAATTTTTGAGAGCAATGAGGAGTTTCTGTAGTTATATTTTTTAGAAATTAGAAGCATATTGGACTTTTTATTATTATTTTATTTATTTCTTGAGTTAAAAGTTGGAGAAGTCAGTTGTTCGATGTAATTTCTTGAGCTATTAAACTTCACTTATTTAGATGATCTAAGGTAGGCGCTGCTTCTATAATTTGGTGATTTATGCCATTGATCCTGGGAGTGAGATGTAAAAGTTTGTATAAGTTTGAAAAAAATGTAATTTGAGAACTGCATGTTACATTCATAAAAAACGCTGTCCCGCAATAATTGCAATGTGAAGGATAATATCGATATTAATTCATAATTCGCGAGTTTCACATTGGTAAGCAGTGTATACATCACTATACAGTTGTCTTAATTACAACATTTGAATTGCTAATTTATTAAGCTGTTGTTTAAGTAAACTCTCATTTAATGAGAAATTCATGGATGTGTCAGTTTATTGTTAAAATATTGAGTATCTAACAATGGTTTAGTACTTTACAATGTCTAAATTCATTTTTTCCCTCAGGGCAAGTCGTATTCTCTGGTCATACTCCTCGGCAAGAGACTTCTGGAGTTAGAGGTGCGTATCTTGTTTATAGATCTTCATTCAGCAGCTAACATTTCTGCATTAGTCTCTCACCATGTCCTTTACTACTATGCAGAAGATGCTCATCCTGCATATTCTGAAATTCTGGAAATCATAGATGAAAATATACTAGGCACTGCTACAAAGGTAAGTACTTCTCTGTAAAAGTAATATGTTTTATTGCTAAAATTACTATTATTGGGCTCATATAGAAAGGTGAATTTGTGCTATAGTCTACAATATGCCCTTCCAATTCACCATTTTTGTTTTGAAGCCATATGTAATTGTTATATGGCCTTGGTGTTGAACACCTATATTTTTGGGGGAAAAAGTTATAAATTGTCTGTTACCTGGTTGATATTGGATAAAACACTTGAATTTTAGACATTAAGAGTTGCATCACGAGCATGATTGAACCATTTTTAAATATGCCTCTAATTAATTCAAGTTATTGACTTACAGTCTAATGGTTGGCATGTATTTGTACACAATCAATAATGCAGGATTCCAATAGAGGGGATGCTGTCAACAAGATTGTGTTTGATCTTCTTCAACATGGTGATAAAGGACATAAGTATACCAAGGGTAGTATAGCTATGAAAATTGATAACTGGGTTCTTCTTGATAATTTCGTGCCCAAAGATAGTTCTCTAAAGGATGCTCGTGTAAAGGCTTTACAAAGCCACTCAAAGCGGTCAAAGAAGCACATGACCATGCGGCAACATCGGAAGTGTGGATCTCTAGATTTGCTCAAGGAATTCCACAAGTAAGTTTTGTGATCCATGGGAATCTACTTGTATATTCATTTAGTGTAGACTTAAGGTTGTAAGTTCTCAACTCTAAAAAGGCTTTTTTGGAGATGATAGATTCATAAATGCTTATTCTCAATGGATGTTTATCCTGAATCTATTTAAGTGTCGACTCAGGCAATTGATTCCCTGTGTTTTTATGGCTGATAATTTTTTGGTTGTCAACTTAAGCAATTCGTCAGTCACTCAACATTGTCTAACATAAGAGAGAAACCATGAGTGGGGTTAAAAAACTTATTTTTATATGTAGAATTTAGCCAAGTATGGTATGTGATTGCTACTGTGTAACTTTGAGTAATGGAGTTCACTACAGGAATCAGTTAAACCGCAAGAAAGTAACATGTAATCCATTTACGTGCAAGAACACAATTATCCGAGCATAAAAATAGTTCTATCATAATTTCTGATCTTTGAATTCTTGTTTTGATATTAAGAGACAAGTTATTGGCATAACCTTCTGAGAGAGTTTTCACGTGCAAGTTAACATATTAAATATATAATATTTGGGATTTATAGTTCTATATCCATGAAAATTTATAGCTTAGGCAACTTATTCTTTCCCTTAGACTTCACTGACTGACTTTAAATGTTTTGGTCTATTGCAGCTTCAGTCTTTTCAAACCGATGCATGAAATGTGGAAAGAGTACATCATCAAAATTTTGAAGAACAGGTGTAGTTTCTCATCTTGTACTGTAAATTTCGGCAGCATAATGTGCTTTGTTTGTTTTTGCCAGATAAAGAGCATTGAGGATCTAGATTATGACTTGCTGAGGGTTTTGTGGTTCCATATTTTCATGCATTTCTTGCTTGCTTTTGCTAATAATTTGACTTCTTACAAGATGCATACTTTATATACTTTCGTCTCTTGATATTTATTAATCGCAGAAGCAAATATGTGGATATATCGATGGTGTAAAATTTGTATTATAAATTAGTTTTATAAACTTTTCTTGATTCAATGCTTGCAGAGAAAAACAGCTAGCTCAGACTCTCCTTGTGGCAGATTTGCATGGAGCTTTTCTTGCAGGTAGTTTAGTAACATTACATTATAAATTAAGGCTTAATGTCATCTACTCTTGGAGCATATTTAACTTATTTTTTAATGGGTTTTTTCCTGTTCCATTATAGTTGTTGAATGTAAGACAATTGCCTTCAAGGGTATAAGTGGGATTATGATTCGAGAAACTGCAAAAACTTTTGGTTTAATTACACAAGACAACCTTTTCAGAGGTATCATATTTACAACTTCCAATTCTGTGTACAATTTACCTAGCCTTATTTTATTACCTTATGGTGTTGTATTCTAGAACGTAGAATGCAACCAGTAAATATTTAACCAAAGTTTGTAGCCTTCTTACTGATGACTATTCTCTTTGAACTTCAGTTGTGCCTAAGCAAGGATCTGTATTTATATTCCAAGCTGGCTGCTGGAAAATTACATTACATGGAGACAATCTATCATTGAGAAATAGTACCAGATAAAATGCCTGTAGCTTTCCTCTATTGGTGATTTGAGCATTGGTAAGAATTCGTTTCGTAAATCTTCATCATCATCATCATCATCATCATCTTCCCCTCCCCCAACCTCCTCTATTGGTGATTTGAGCATCGGTAATCTTTCGTAAATATACATCATCTTCCTCCCTCCCTCTATTGGTGATTTGAGCATCGGTAAGAATTGGTTTTGTAAATATTCATCATCATCATCATCTCTCTACTTTCAAGTCACAAATAAACTGATACTTGCCTCACAGAATTTGGAATTTTCTATGGTTACGCAACACATGCAAGAACTTTGAACAATCTCTACCACCATTTCAATTCTCTTTGGATGAGTGAAGATGCCAAAATTTATCTTACTTTTTACTGATTATAATGTTCATGATTTTGTCATTACTCCATTTCCGGATAATGAAGAGAAAAAAGAAAACACTCATCAAATCTAGTATTATATGCGGAAGTATTTTCTGATACCTGTCCTTCTAATTTCATTTTTTTTGCATGCACAACCCTGGTGCTTGAGTTTCATTACTGTTAAAGAGCTTGTCCTTTCAACACAGACTCTCTTCACTTCTACATCTCGCCAGGATATAATGTATCATATCCTTTTGAATGTTCCATATTATTAACTATATTTTGAACATCATTGACCTGTCCTAATTTCATTTTTTTTGCATGCACAACCCTGGTGGTTGAGTTTCATTACTGTTAAAGAGCTTGTCCTTTCAACACGGACTCTCTTCACTTCTACATCTCGCCAGGATATAATGTATCATATCCTTTTGAATGTTCCATATTATTAAGACTCTCTTCACTTCTACATCTCGCCAGGATATAATGTATCATATCCTTTTGAATGTTCCATATTATTAACTATATTTTGAACATCATTGACAGCCAGGATATAATGTATCATATCCTTTTGAATGTTCCATATTATTAACTATATTTTGAACATCATTGACAGTGGATTGAATATCTCAGATATACTTAGTATGTTTGGTATCAATAGCTAGTATGAGTCTAGATGCTCTAGCATCCTTCCTCCACCAAAACTTATGGTATAATTGTTATCTACTACTATATTAGCTTTTGCATTTGCTATACTTCGCCAACAATCAACTAATTTTCTAGAAAATTTAACTGGAGCTTTCCCAAATATCTTTTCAAATCTTATTATGATAAGCCAAGGAGCAGTACGTATGAGAACATTCAACTCCAGCGCTCTCAGCCTATCAACTACTAAACATTCCACTTTGTGCAACAACAAATGTATTCAGGAGTTCCGCCGGTGGGATTCTGAATGCACTCTGCAGTAACTGGGTCGTAACCTGCGGTCCAACATGGCGTGGTGCAATCTTCATTTCTCGTGCATTCCCCAACATAGAAGTCGCACCCTACGGATTTAAGATGCGAAAACATTCCAAGATAATTTATGTTTTCAAATGAGAACCTAGGCCTATCACGACGTACTGTAGTCAGGCAATAAACATATCATTTTCTCAATTAAATTTGTTTATCATTCATGAAAGGTGTTGGAGTGAGTGTAAGATATGGTTAAGCAATTCTCGCTTTATTATCTGGACGGTATTGAGTAGTTATGATTAAAAAAAGAGACCTATTGAGTAGTTATGATTAAAAAAAATGGTCTCTTTGTTACGAAAACAAAAATGAAGAAGGGACTTACCGCTAGAGGATTTAGCCAATGAGAGCACGATTAGGGAGAGGAGCACAATGACTGTAATGCAACTTTTGGCAGCCATCTCACTAGCCAAGAGTACGTCTTTGGAGGCTCGTTAATAGTCAACCCTCTTTTGCTTGTGTTTTGTAAGAGAATGGAAGCCAAGGGTATTTATCTATGTAGATGAGAACCTAGAGCCACAGATTTTGAAAAGATTTGCTGATTTAACAAAGGATACGCTTAGCAAAAAGCTATATTTGAAGTTCAGAACAGGGTGGATATAAGCGGATCTTGGTTAGGAGTAGATTTATTCCGTTTAGACACAAAAAATCTAATATTAATTAGTTTTAATGTCTGCAATGGACATATTTATATACACTGTATGTATCATAAAATACAAAAATCCCTAGATTATGTTTCTAGCAACGCCTCCCCTCATCCACTCTTCTCACCTCTTCCCTCATCCAAGATTTTTAATTTTTTAGGATGTATTTGGCGTATAGATATATCCACTATCTGGTGTTGGATATTTGGGGTTTAAGAGTAAATTTGAAAGTGAGTGTGTTTTAAATAAATAAAAAGCTAAAAAAACTGGGTTTAAAAGGTAAAAACATACTATAGGTCCAAGTCTGAGTTTCAAACAAAGCCCAAAATACTTAACCAGCTCTCATGTCCAAAGATGAGAATAGTTCTTACTCGAATTAAAAATATGTGTAATAAATTTGCTTGTAGCATAGTAGGACTATATTGGAACAAAGAAAAAAAAAATCTAATAGAGCTTAAGTTTAAAAAAATTTAATTTATTATTTGATCATAAAAAAGGTATTTGCATTCTATTAAATGAACATCTAGATTCTTTTGTGCTTAGGAGGGTTTTCGATAAGGAATGAACAAATTTATCTTTATTTTTCAACAGAATCCCAAGATTCAATATAATATTTGTATATTGCATTACATGTTTTATAACTTATCACAATATATAAACTAGGGATGTCAATTTTGGACCCGACCCGACCCATTACTAATGGGTACGGGTCGACGTATACGGGTACGGGTCATAATCGGGCTGACCCTTATAACCTGGTGGGTTACATGGGTCGACCCATCTATGACCCCTTTATGACCCACTTGAAATGACTCATTTCATCGCCAAGCTTTAACCCATTTTTCTCCACTATAAACCTTAAACAGAAAATAGATGAAAGTTTTACGGGTGATGTTGACTGCTCTCCTCCACCCGTCTGTCGGCACCGACCATTGAAGGGGAAGCTTGATTTTGGTTGGTTGAATGTGATTTAGGGTTTTTATACTGAGGAAAGTGAAGGAGAAAATCACATTGGTAGAGAGTAAATGTAGGTGAAGAGAAAAGACAAAGGGCTTTATTAATGAAGGAGAGAGAAAAAGAATATCATTCAGGTTCTCTTTCTAAGATTCTTTATTGTTTTTTTCCTTACAAGGGAAATGACAAAGATTTATAATAATTAAAAAAACTGATGCTAGTTGACTGGTTTGGAGAAAGATATAACCAGGCTTAATTTACGATACTGTCCTTTTAGTGTGTAGCTTATTACTATTGGTTGATTTATTGTTTGTTAAACGGGTTGATGGGTAACCTGTTTTATAAACAGGTCGGGTCGGGTAACTTGTTTATTAAACAGGTTGGGTCGGGTTAAAGTCATGTGGGTTGGGTCAAAACTAAACGGGTCGGGTCGGAACCAGCCCGACCAATATACCATCCTTGCATGTATATCATACTTCCTTTAAAAGCACGAGTTCAGAAAATTTTTTCGATAGACAAAAATACCCTTAGCATTTAAATACTAATCCATCAAGTAAGAGTAAGTTGGTAAATTGATGAATTTTTATTGGATATACATAGTATGAAGATGAGGATATAATTTAAATTAAAATGTAAATTTGAATGAAATTATTAAATATCAAATTTAAAAATTTACAAGATGAAGGACGTATATGCACAAACCAAATAAATTAACGAGACAAATAATGTTTGCCCCAAAGGTCGAACCAGGAACAACGCAGACCTATAAATGTATGTAATGTGCACGGGATATTTGCAAAATCCACCAAACAAATTAAAGAGACAAAAGTGATTCCTAAAATTATAAAAAAATTAAAACAAACAGTTGCAACCTGAGGACATAATGTGGTGATCTCTCACTTACTAAAATTCATACTCCTTTTAAAAGTAGGAATTCAAAAAAATCTTTTAGTAGACAAAAATACCCTTAGAATTCAAATGCTAATCCATTAAGTAAGACTAAGTTGATAAAATGATAAATTTTTATTGGATATACATAGTACGAAAATAAGAATATAGTTTAAATTGAAATGTAGACCTGAATAAAATTATTAAATGTCAAATTTATAAATATTTACAAGACAAATGGCGTATATGCAAAAATTAAATAAATTAACGAGACATAATATTTGCCTCAAAGGTCGAACCCAAGGATAACGCAGACCTACAAATGTACATAATGTAGACATGATATTTGCAAAATTCACCAAACAAGTTAAAAAGATAAAAGTCATTCTCAAAATCATAAAAAAGGAAAATTAAAACAAACAGTTGCGACCTGAGGACACAACGTGGCGATCTCTCACCGATTAAAATTCAAGTAGTTCATGGTACTGTATAATTAGTTTTAAAGGTTAATTATACTATTATTATTTAAAAAGGACTCTATTTATAATTGTTATCATCTCACATGCAACATCACGTACCAATATATATAAACTAAGAAATTACAATAATTTTCGTAGCACTTTCATCTCCTTCTATAAGTATGTACCTTTGTTATTTTATTCTTATTAGATTACATTAGATTATTTTAAAGCAATTAATTATATTGTATGTTTAATTTTTTTTATATTAAGAAATAACAACAATTTTCACAATACTTTCATCTATTTTCTTCTTATAAAATTAGATTAGATTATTTTAAAGTAATTAATTATATTGTATGTTTGATTTTTTTTTTCAGATCAGAAATTGTAATAATTTTCATAGCACTTTCATCTCTTTCAATAGGTATATGCATTTATTATTTTTTTCTTATTAGATTAGATTATTAGATTAGATTAGATTGTTTAAAAATTATGAATTATAAAATTACAACAATTTTCACATCACTTTTTTTCTTTTTTCTTCTTATTAGATTAGATTAGATTATTTTAAAGTAATTAATGTGTATTGTATATATTTGATCTTTTTTCAGATCACAGAGTTTAATTATACTATTATTATTTAAATAGATACTATTTGTATAAAAATCAAAGAGAATCTCACACGTATCTTAGATCTCAATACCAATTGTAA